GTTTCAATTGATTTCCTTTTTCACCATACAAGAAGCCAAATTTGCCTCAATTTGACATTAGTCTTAGCCCTTTCAGAACTTGTATAGCATATGTAGAGGTCTTTGAATGTTCTTTTAAGTCAGCTTTACTCCTCATTAATTAGTGAGCTAAATGAAGATATCTGTCAGGATTTCATTTTATAATCATATGAGAATCATAATTTTATGTTTGTAAAATATATTATTTTAAAAAATCATTTGTTAATTTCGGATTCCACACTTCCAGTATGGAATGTCTTCTGTGGCTCATTCTATGTGACACTATTGATTGTTCACATTTCACAAATAAACTAAACTCCTCCTCATAATGTCCTCAAACTTCAGAATCCATAACTTTCATGATAAACCTAGATTACCATGATGTCTTTTCTTTATAATAGCTCTTGCAATACCAATACGTACTATGTCATGAGTGTGTCGTCTACTATACTTTTACCCTAATCATTATTTCATCAGTGACTTCTCACTGTGAGTACAAGCCCCTGAGGACCCTGAGCACAGGCTGTTTCCCTCTTCTCCTCCTGGGGTCAGCACAGAACCTCCTACTGCACAGGGCCCAGCAAATGTCCCCTGCTGAGTCCCACTGACTGCCCATGAAGGGGCGCTCTCAGGCTTTGCTCCAGCTAATCAGCTGGCTTTATTTAAGGGGACCAAGCTGCTGTATTTTCCCTGAAAGTGATTCTTTGCCAAGAAAATACATGTTAAACTTTAGTGGAGATTATTAGTGGGCTTATGAAATATCAAATACTACATAGTATAGACCAGAAAGTCTAGGAAATAAAGGATAAATTGATGTACTTCTGGAAAGTATGAGACTGACAGCTCATAACTATCATGCTAAGTATAGTCTTCTATGAGGGTAAGATACATTTAGTACTAAATTGTATGAATGTTTGTTTGTTTATTTATTTATTTTAATTGGAACCAGTACTTGGGGCTGAACCAGGGCCTTCACAGTAAACCACACCCACAGCTCTTACAAATCTTTATTCAAAGTCCATGATGGATCCTGAATTTTGAAAGCCTTGGGATTCACATGCAAATAAAATAAAATTTCTAATCCAAGGAGTTTTCCTGCTCCCAAGGGAAGGAGAGGAAAAAGTCAAAGGTGAGGAAAAAGGAATAAAAGACTGTGACCTTAGTGCAGGGACAAAGAAGTGTTTCAGCATGATGGAAAGAATGTGCTATTTTCAGGTAGTAGAACGATGGAACCTCTAAAACCATCTATTTAAAATACCCCCACCAGGGGCTGGAGAGATGGCTCAGTGGAATAAGCACTTCCCTGGCCAGTGCAAGGGCCTGAGTTCAATCCCTGGTTCCGCCACACACAAAAAAAAAGTTTAAAATACCCCCACCTCAGGGATAAAATCCCAAACCCTCCCATACTTGTGTCACCATGATAGGTAAGTTCCTTGCAACACCTTATGTGCTTATTCCCAGGTCCACCAAATGTGGACAACCATCACTTTCATATGGCTTAACTGCTGAGCTGTAAGAGAATAATAAATAATCTTGAGAGCACTTTCAGCATATTTGATTTTATGAACTATAAAATACTTTAACCAGCTGAACAGTCTACCAACTAAATTAAATTCCTTATAATGCTATGTGAAGCCAAAGGACTTCATAATATTTGAATATTAACATCATTACTAAGCATTTTACTTTTTATGATTTTACTTATGATAATTATTTTAAATTAAAACTGTCCTGAGAAAACTGCTAATGTAAAAAATTTAAGACCATTTAATCATTTTATTTTTCTCATGATGATTTTTAATTTTTATATTTAACCCTAGGTGAACCCTTTAAACAAGACACTTAAGATGATGTTGTATACAGCTTTGTTAGTAAAAGCATTATAAAAAGACTCACAAATACAAATAAGATTATATAGATTTTTGTTGATATAATTTTTACTTTCACTTATTATATTGGTATAGTGCATATGATTAATAAGCAGCAATTTCACAATATTACCAATACTTTCAGGTTGTTTGGTCCTATATATTTTCCTATGGACTTTCAAATCTCACAACAAGAAAAGTTATTTTAATTTTAAAGATTTATGCAGAAGTAGGACTCAAGAAAGATGTGATTTACCATTTGTAAATGGCATTTTGTACACTGAATCCAGTTTCTCAAACTCAAAAATTTTGGTTTTGCTTCGTATTTTTTACGAAGCAAAACAGTTTTCATTTTAAAAACTTTTTTTAATAAAATTTTTTTATTTTAAAAACAGTATTTAACTCTCCAGCCAAATCTTGTTGGCAAGACATTCCTAAGGGTAAGTAAAATACATGTACAGAAACAGTAAACATTTTATTCATTTACAGTGTCTTCATACTGAAGCTTAGAAGGTTACTGTGCTTTCCAAATGGCTCAGTTAAGTCTAAGGAATAAGTTATTTGTCTAGCAGAGTCTGGACAGTGTCAATCAAATTCACTTGCTTACTAAAATATGATCCATTAGCATATTTCCAATCCTCACACTTATAAACTAAACACTGTATTTACTGGCCTTATAGTTTAAAAGATTTTTATTTTTCTTGCTCATCATAAATATACAAATATTCACCACTACTCTCAACATAATTTTAGTATTTCTTGTAAGATGAGTGTGGTGACAACAGACCTTTGTAATACTAGCACTTGGAAGGCTGAGGCATGAGGCTCTCCATGAATTCAAAATCAGTTTAGCCTACTGGTGTGTTCACGGCAGCCTGAACTGCACAGCAATGCTCTGTCTCAAAACCAACAATAACACAACCCCAGAAAACAAATGTATGTCTATATGTATGTATTTATGTATGTCTGCATTTATCTAACTAAATGTATTCACGAATTTTCTTAAAGACATTTTAAAATGCAAGAATATGCATACTCAGTATTTGCATCACATTTTTATGTCTTCATACATTTTTCCACATAATAACAAGGCAATCCTTACCTTTTGGAAAGTATGATTATTTTACAACTGCACAGTATTTCATCATAAGGTAATACCACAATTTATTTTAATGTCCTTCCAATTTGAAGTTATTATAGCAAAATGATTTATGAAAGCAAAAGAGCTAAGAGGCTGAGACACGACAATTACCAAGTTCAAGCCTTCCTTAGGTAACTAAGATCCTAATTCAAAATAATAATAAAAATGGTTGGAATGTATCTCAGTGTGAAAGTCCTAGGTTCAATTCCAGTACCAAAAAAGTACTGTACTTATCTTTTTATGAAAAACAGTAATGAAATCACAAACCATATTCCTGTCTAATAAGCTATCCTGGTTTACATCATTTTAAATCAAGACGTCCCCCTGAAGCCTCATGCTCCCATAGGTAGGACTTCTGGGAAACAACTGGAACACGGGTGTGTGATACACAGCACTGGGTTAATGCACCAATGAGTTTATAGCTATCTGTAACTTGGAAAGTGAGGCAGGTTAGGGGGAGGTCAGGGCCAGTGTGGAAGGGTCTTCTGTCCCTCCTCCCTGATCCCTCTCTACTTCCTGCCTGCCAGGTCAAAGGTAATTCCTCTCTGCCATGGCCCTCTACCACGCTGCCCCGCCTTAGACCTAGGCAGTTATGCCCAGAGACCTTACAAACTGTGAGCCAAAATCACCTTTGCTCCTTTCAAGTTGTTAGGACAGTATCGTGTCTCAGCAGGAAGGAAGTAACTAAGGCATTAGCTTTTGAGATTTTTTTTTTTTAATGTATGTAGTACTGGGTCTACAGGGTCTCACTACACAGATCAGACTGGTAGTTATCCTCCTGTTTTCAGCCTCCCAAGTGCTGGGATCATAGGCACGCGCCACCATTCCCAGTCTCAGTCACTGATGCTGGAGGCAGGGCTGGCACTGCATGCTGGGGATTGAACACCAGTTCCTACATCTGCCTAAGCAGGCACTTTAATCTGCTGAGCTATCTGACCAGCCCTATTAGCTTTGCAAACTCTCTTCTTATATGCTGCCACGTTGGCATTAAAGTGCATATGATTTTGTATTTTGTAATTTTTGTTTTATTTAACCTTATCAGCTTTTTCTATAACTACTCTGGCACATTGGGTAGAAATCTCATACTTTACTACTTCACTGAAAGACAATAAATTTCCTTCTCTTCTTTAATTAAAAATAAATTTCAGGGCTGGAGAGATGGCTCAGTGGTCTAAAGCACCTACTTAGAACAAGCTTCGCAAAGCATCAGGGACCGCGGTTCAATCCCCCAGCACCACATGCCA